TACATAGTTGCATGTTACGACTTTTTTCGCTTTACAAGGAGCAGGCTGTCTGCGAATTGAGACGCAGCTTGCGTTTGCAGTATTGGTCATTAGAAGAGTTGAACAGCCTTTGCTCACCTGCGGCGCTGGCTCGCTCTGCCGTATTTTTTTTTTCTTCCTGCGTTTCAGTCAAGTGGATGTGATGACGACGGTGGCGGATGACGCATTAATCGCGCGACACAACTAATCGATTATGAAATTCGTTGCCAACGCTTTTAAAAGTCGATTTTTATCGATTCGTTGTTGCAGCCCTAATTTCATTTCATTTATTGTTTATTTGAAAGGGGACAGTGTACATTCATCAACATTAAAACAATGTAAATATACCCGAGTTAGCTAAGGAGTGCTAATTGTCATCAGTAGTCCCCCAGCCAGGTATAGAAAAGGCAACCTTAGAAATAAACACAAGTATAAAATCACAAGATAAAATTACAATACCAATTACATAAAAAACATTATGGTTAAGAAATACAATTCATGTAAAATAATTATAAATCATTTAAATACACACAGAAAACCTTAGTGCCCACAAATTTGGCTCTACAAGCCATTTTTTTTTCATTCTTTTTGAATGAAGAGAATGACAGAGAGTCTCTGATGTTCCATTGCTGAGATACTCTTACGGAGAAGACAGCCTGACCAAACTTCATGCGTTTCCGCAACATTTAAATTCCTTTTGGGATTAATTAAGTATTTTTTCATTGATTAATGTGACAAGCATGATGAAGAACTAAAAAAAAGTAGGAAAGTTTAGCCGCTTCTGAGGCAAGAATCATCCATAGACCATTACCGTGTGAATTGGAAGGAAAATGATGGCACAGAGGAACGGTTCCATTTTGCATCGATGTCACGTTATATTAGCCTTGTGAGACCATCCTGATCTCGCGAGCTTTCAAGGTTTCACTCGCTAATCAGTCACCAAACGAACGTCCAATCAGCGTTGGCTTTGAGGCGGGTTGAGGTGTGACGCAACGAGAAGCGCGACAGTTCAGTCTAAAGAACAT